ACTGTCAAAACATTCTGTTTTGACAGTCTCTAAGTGAATATCATGCTTTAAAAATGAGGAGCGGTTTTTCATTTCCAAAGCCAAGTCACCTGAGGAAAAAAGAAACAAGAATGGAAAACATGAAAAGCAAAATCAAATATCTTATATAAGTAAAATATTCCTGAAATCACTGTCTTGCAAAATATTCTACTTAACTTTCATTTTAATTTGGGACAATAGTATTTTTTGAGCACAAAAGCATTTCTGAGATGGAAATAAGCTTTCCTTCTCACACTATCCAGGGGGATCAGTCAGAAAGGATTTGTTTTCCTTTATAATTTTTGTATTTAAACTTTTTCATTTCCACATTTTTTCTTTTCCTTTAATTCCTTTTTTACAAAAAAAAAATCTCTTTTTCTTTCCTTTCCTTCTTAAAATGCCTCATGCATTGCAAAACCAAGAAGTTGAAACTAGAACCTCTTATTCTTTGCTCCTTTTCTTCATTCCTTTATTTACAAGAAGCATGAAAAGAGCTATGTTAAGCTGAAATCTTATTCAGCTGCCCTCTGTTCAACAAAAGATAGTCCACTAAAGCCACAGATAACATTTTTCTGGGAAATGCTATTAGCAACTGACACCTAGTGATGAATGAAGATCTCATCTTTTTCAGAAAAAAGTGCATTTAATTTCCTCTATACATAGAATAGAGAGCACAGCTTGTGTATTAAGCAATAATAAGGTATCCAGTGTAAGCATCAGTATTATATGGAAATATAATACTGGCTCTCTGCTTCTGAGCTTGCATTTTACAGGACAACTTCAAATTAATTTGGAAGCCCCTATTCTTCAGCTCTCAGTAGACAGTAAACTCCTTTTTCTTAAGAAAACAAAGGAAAAGAAGGGGATGACACTTTGCATCCAGCTTCACTTGGACTGAAGAGCTCAGGAACTGAACTATCACTTTTTAGGGAAAGTTTTATTAATATTTATTTTGTGATCACTGAAATAAGAACCACTCAATCAAAGCCTTCTTTTTTTTTCTCTCTCTTCCTTGGCAGCAACAGGCACAATTCTATGGATAGCTTCTTGACACAAAAAATTTAATGCTTCATTTGCAAAATTGAAGACCGCAATTCTCCACACAGCAAAAATGCTCAGAACCAGTGAAAATTAACATAAATTAAAAGAAAATTCCTCATTATAATGATTTACATCAGACACAAATTTAGCCCTATCCTCCCTCCAAACTGGTTTGGCCTCTGCCTTGCTAATGGAATTAGCAGAAGGAGAGAAGAGACTATAAGTAGTACTTCTAAAAGTAGTAGCTTGTTTATCAAAACAAGAACAGAGAAGAGCTGACTCATTAGATCTATGGTATACGCAAGAAGCGCAGGACGCTGGCAGTTTCTGATCAAAACTAAAAATACTCCCACTACAGCCCATCCCTCCCCATCTCCACTCCTAACCACAACTTAAGAAACAACCAGGGACCTGCTCTTATTGTCATATTTTGAGAGACACGTTAAATTAAATATGTTAACTTTTCCCTGAAGCACATCAAGTCAGACTCCAAAACCCACTGGGTGAACGAGCATAAACAGCTTGTGCTGAGACACTAGCAAGTACTACACAGTACTCCCCTATTCTTGTATTTTTTCCTCTCTCCAATGATTTGTTTTCTACTCACGTTGGCAAAGTATATCTGTATTTCACATTTCCTCTTTTTGCAGCACTAACAGCTACTGCTTTGGTTGAATTTAATTTTAAAACACCTTTCAAGCAGGACCGAGATGGCAAGCATGAAACTTTAATTACCTGTCTGTAGAAAGTAAGGTCTTAGCTATAAATGTGCAACAAGAAAATATGGTTGGTCTGCTTTCAGTGGTGTGAAAAACTGCTTTGGGCTCCTAAGGTGAGGAAAAATTTCAGAAAAAAACATCTGTGTGGCATTTTTGTTGCTAAGTTTAGAGACTGTTTGCAAACTGGGCAAGTCTGACTGCAAGTCCTTGTAGGTAAAGGAGGTCTAACATTGAGCAAATACCTCCCTTTGAGTCTTAACTTCTAGTTTAAAATACAGTGGCAATTTTCTGCAAGCCTTACACAGTGAATGATGCCAATAAAATTTCCACTGAAGACACTGACAAAAAGTGGCCTTTCAAAAAATAAAAGTTAAAGGAAAATTCTGTGACCATCTTAGTTTTTTTTCCCTAAGGTTTTTGATCATTCTCTTTTTTTACTCTCCTTTTCTTTCCTTTTTTTTTTCTTCTTCTCCAGTAGATGTAAAAAAAGGAGCTAGTAGCAGTGCCACCTCTTCGGGGCACGTGCCTTTCTCCCATCTTTCTATCTTATCTTTTTGCTGGCTGCCCACCAGCTTCCACATGGACTTCAGTGTTGCCACCTGAACATGCTTAGGCTGATACTATTGAAGCTTCTTAACTTCCCAGCTTGGTTTTCCAACTCACAAGGTGATTTTTTTTCTTCTTTTTTAAAATGACAATTGAGGAATTTAACAAGGTTGCCAACAAGTGCCTTAGAAATAATCAGATGTGCTATAACAGGGTTTTCAAAAGGATCAAATAAGCAGCCAAACTAAGGACAAGTCCTCAACCACTTGAAGCCTCTCTCCCTTGTGGCACATTTCTGAAGTGCCTTCTACTTGATGACGGATGAGAACTTAAATAGACCTTAATTAACTCTCTCAAGACCTCCAGAAGCATTGCTTCCAATTCTGTGGCTGAAAAAAGCAGAGCAAAAAGGTTGAGCAGTTGTCCAACTGCAGGACAAAACCTGAAACTGCTGAAACAGCTCTGCCCATTTTATCAAGCTCACAGTCTCAGTACCTGCCAAAAGTTGTTGCTGCTATTCTTAAACCATAAATGAGTCAACAGCATAAGAAAAAGGTGGGAACTTTTTCCAACCACCCATCAGTAGTCTCACTGCAGGGTATCTCTCCATGGGGGAGCAGAAGAGATGGTGCAAGTCAATACATCTCCCTTGCATGACAGGTTTTCTTTAGAGGTGCTAAGCTAATTCCTTCACTTTCCAGAAACACCACTTAAAGGTAGTTACAAATATTGAAAGTCGATGCTGAAAGACAGAGAGCTAATCATGCTTTTTCACATAAAATGCAATGGCAAATTCCCTTCTTCTGTAATCGGCACTGGAAAAAGGTAGATATGCATCCTGCAGGAAAGAAATTATGCATTTGCTGCAACCACACAAATTGGGTGCGAATGGGGGTAATTCAAAGAAACACTTCTGGCAGCCCAACTAGTACCTTAAGAAGAGCAATGAAACTGGCATCAGTGAGAGGCCAAATTCAGAGAAGACGCTGCCAGGGCAGCTAATGCCTTGACGTCAGCCGAGCAAGCGTCATGCCCTGCCAGAGGCACTGCACCAAACTGCGAGATTGCTGGAGGTGAAAAGATGCTTAGCAAGGTACACGCTTTTAATTGATCCTTCGATGTCCTATTTTATACATTACTTGTTTGAGAAGGTTGTTTTATCTTTTAAGTAAAAAAGAACAGTAGACTAATGAAACCCTCTCCCCTGTTCTCTAGGTCTAACACAACTTCATGCCTCCATATTCTGATTTTTCAGTTGTCTCATTATGCCATTTATGGTTACATTGCTGCTGCACTGCTTCTGTAGTTTACTAGATGTTTCAATTTGTTAGCACTTTTATTTAGAACCAAATATGTATAAAAATTGAAGAGGGAAACAAACAACAGAGCTCCAGCCACATTCCAGCTTAGAAACAGTATTTTCCAATGCACTTCACAATTCTAGCAGAGACAGGCTACACAAATATGGCTAAGATATTTCATTTAATGCTGTAGGAATTAGAACTTCTCTAAAAATCAATGAAGTCTCCTCTTTCCAACTGAAGAAGTAGGTTTCGTAACTGAGAGACCAAAGAAAATCAAATAACGAAAAATGCGGGAGGATTTGCATTAGGACAGGGAGCCTACTCTAAATAAAGTGTCTAAAACAGTATTTATATTTGCATTTGGAACATTTCTGGCAGCAAGGAGTAAGACCCTCATACAATCTGTGAACTCCAAAAGGATTTGCATAGAGGTGGCACTGCTTTGAAACTAGCACCCACTGTTCATCTGTGCTCCACTACTCCATTCCTCTGAGAAGCTTTAGGAGGCTGCTGAAACATCTTACCAGAAGATTCATTTTACCTGAAGTAGCTTGATAACTTTATAGACTGTCTCAGTAGAACAGTCCTGAATGTATAGTCCTTCCTGCAATAGCAAATATTTAGCACAGAAAGCCAGAAATAAATAAAAACAAAGATTACAGAAGAATCAATCAAAAGGCAAAAATCTTCTCTGCAAGTATGCAAATATATACATAGTAATACATACAGAAATGCATAATAACAATATGTTAACAATATGTGAAGGGCACTTTGCCACTAAATAGTGGGCAAGACGAAGCTGCTATTGCACTTTCTCGCACAAGAACAGCACAGCTTTTGTTGAGCAAGAATTCTTCCAAGTCAGCCTGAGAAGCTCCTGCAAACACCCCTGCCTGCACCAGGGCATCTCTGAAGGAATTACAAAGCCTGCCCATGGCTAAGCAAATGTTCCCTAAACCATTACCAGCTGACACTCTACACGGGCTTGTGTATAGGCAAGGAAATGAAACACCAGACCATTATTTGGCCAAAACTGGGCGCACGGTTCCTGAGCAGCTCACATGCCTGTGGAGCCCTTTCTAAGCTTAAGGGCCTGAAGTCATGCGGGAGCACCGAGAAGCAGCATTAATCTGCTCACATACATCTAGACGACAGCGCTGTTATTCTCATTAGGGTGACAACTTGTGGTACTGACAAGCTGACTCTTGAGATGTCATTCTCTGCCGAGGCATCCTGGTTTTTAACAATAGCTGTTGAAAAACAGTGGGAAAGGAAGACCGATCACTTCAGTGGCATAATCAGCTATTTTTTTAATTGAGAAATCACATACAGAGTCTATGAAGCTCTGTGCAAATGGATGCAAAGAACTTTATACAATAAAGTGTCTTTCTGATCGATCTCACCGTTAACTTGCGTATACACTGGCATGGATCACCCCGTGCAGATCCCTCTTCCCCCCTCCCATGTCTGTTCCTGACACTGGATTAAAAAGCCAGGGAGTCCAGCCGGAGACATCATTTTCCAGAGGCACCAAAGGAGGCTTCCTCCGTCACTGCGTTTTCAGGCGGGCAGCCTCCCGCTGTTGCTTCTGGACAGTCTTGGAGTCTTCCCACAGACGGGGTCCTCTGATATTCTCCCAGTTATCTAAGTCAGATTTTTCCAGTTTCTGCAGATAGAAGGCAAGAACAGTGTCATCTTGAGCAATGTAAATTACACATTATTCTAATTTGTTTCCTTTTTTGCACAAGAAATTCAGCATGACCACTGGGCAGATTAACTTTCACCCATCCCAAATGAAAACTTCAATAACTAGGAGAAAAAAAAAAATTAGACTTTAGTCAGAAAACTGAATAAATGCCTAGTGGGGGAGCACTGAAACACCTGAACATGTCTGGAAAGTATCTTGCATTCACTCTTTCTTTTCTCACCTTGTTTTCCAGATCAGCTCTTCAGCTGCAACTCTGTCTGGTATCAGGTTGGAGGAGTGATAAGCATTGGCGTAACGCAACCAGCAGATTAGAAATTAGTGACTTTCTGCCTGCACAGGTGCAAGGCATCCTGGAAAGGAAATATTACCTAGCACTAAGAGTTGGTAACAGCTCCATCTCCTTCAACAGACACTGCTTTAACTGGAGAGAAGTACACAGTGCTTTTGGGTTGCCTAGTTCCATACAGCAGCCGACCATCATAGATAGAAGTGTCACTAGGACACATTGAGATTTAACTTTAAGTTACTTCCTTGCGTATTCCCATCCTCCCTCCTCCTCCAAAGTACCTATGGCTGCGCTCTTTTTCCAGCCGCGGAGGTGGAATACATACATACATACATACATAAACAGTGGAGGAAAGGCACTCTCCCCTGGCCTCACCTACAAAGTACTGCTGTCAAAGATGATAAATGTTCACTATGATTCTCCAAAAAGTATGTCTGAAGAGACACTCAGAACAGGTTAGCCAGTATAGCAGGCAGCACTATAGCTACAGAGGATTCAGACAGATTTTACTGCAATTTCTTAGGGCAGTGCAGTTCCCATTCCAGATAAGGAAAATAAAAAAAGCAAAAGCAAAACAAGATAATCCACATCTTGCATACAAAAAGTCTTATTTTAATTTATCTTCACTGAAACATGATGTGCGTGAACCACTGACCTGGCTTTCATTTAAGAGCAGCAGAGGACCAAGGCAGTTTTCCATCCCAAACCTATTTCCTGATGGTCACTATTATTTTCCTTTTCCTGGAGAGGACACATTCAGGACCAAGTTCCATAGTCATGTGAGCAGGTGCTTCTCCCACCTGGCATAGGATGACTTCTGTTTGAATGCACGTCAGCTGAGGCTGAGCTAGGAGGGCTGTGAAGACAGCACTAGCAGAGATCCAGAAGCCTCTTTTCCCACCAGGCACAGGCTGCAGATCTCCCTGTGCCAACTTGCAGGATTTAACTTTACATCAGATACCCCAGGACTCTGCCAGCAGGAGACTGGTGAGGAGGGCTGCATTGCTGCTGAAACGAGGCATGTTGAAGTTCTCCTGAAGAGGCCAATATTGTGTGTTATTAATCACACCCACCACAGCAGGATTTAAGCCCCCGATTAGGGGGTGATTAGGGCCTCATCCCACAAAATGCCACAGAAACTGGAAGAGACTTCACCCTGCCCCGAGGCTGCAGTCTCATCTGCCTACTACCAACCCTCCAAACAAATGACAAATGGAGGACTCAGGGTCTTGAATAATAGCTGCAGAATAATTCAGCAGCTAAAATGGCACGAACCGATAGTACTAGGCTTGTTCTATGGAAAACTTCTCTGCCACTTCTGTTACCAGAGGAAATTGCAATGAGGTTAGTCAGATATCAAAAGAAATTAGGCAACATTCAGCAGAAGATATATGAGAACACATGCGCAAAACCAGCAGACTTGCACAAGGTAGAAGCAGCTGAATTTTCCTGAGTTGGTGCAAGTATTTCTGAGGAATTCTCTTTGCTACTTTCTATATATTATGATTAGCTGGTCCTTCACTTCAACTGGAAAGGATCTAAACTGACACAGCAAGAGGAGGAAGAAGAGTGTTTAGGGAAAGCACACACCATCCTCTGCATCAGCGACTAACCGCTCCCATTGCAAATTCAGAATTTAACACCTAATTCAAAGGGAAACTTTAAGGAAACTACAAACTAACCTTGTGCTTTAACAGAAGGTGTTTGCATTAAACACCAAGGCACCATGCAGCTTTTATCCTCCCACAATCGCTCAGCTCTCAAAGTGTGAACTATAAGCAATGCTCCAAATCTATGCAACCAAACCTGCATACAAGGTGCCGCACAGGCAGAAAAGTTGCAAAGTCCCTCCAAATTGCCACCACTACTTCCCACAGCAGGAACCCAGGAGAGAACCCAGACTAAGTCAACCTCTTTCTTTCTGGTGGTACCTTTCTTCATAAACACATATTTTTCAGTTGTTAAGCTGCCTGGACTGAGTTCACTCAATTTCAGAGACAACACATAAGGCAGGTAAACTGCTTCTAGCTTCCACTAAAGCGAAATCCATACAAACTGGAGTCTTACACGTGCAAATCTCTGCTTCCCAGTTCACATGCACTAAACAGTCAATCATTGGAGGCTACAATGAAATGCAATCAGATCAGACCAGCACCACTTTTCCTGCTTGTCTCAAATAACCCAAAGGATATTGCAAATTAGCTTTTTAAAGTAAGATCAGTGCAGTCCATTAAACCTTCTGATTCACTTCCTAAATCAGCCAAACTGCCTCCTAAAAGTACTGGGCTGACAGAAGCTGTAACTCAAAGAAAAAGTTATGGCCATATAGGCAGGCACAGAGAACGCTGTTCACCACACATTCAACTCTGTTGAGATTTCACTGAACTTGCCTGGCACAAAGGAACTTACAAGGTGCAGACAGACCTTTCTACATTGCTGGTTCAAACACTTAGTTTGGATAGTAGGTAAAAAACATAATACTCTGCCAGTCTTAAAGAACAAATACTAAGTTTTACTCTTGCAGGGTAAGTATTCATTTCGCTATGAACAAATTGGAATCTGCAGGAATTAATTTAGAGCTATTGGTGCTCGGACTGAGATAATTTAAGGTAGTTGCTTGCAAAGATTTTGGGCTTTAGTGTCTCTGTTTCCCATCTGTGAAAGGGGGATAAGAAAATCCTGTTTACTTCAGGGTTTGATGCAATAAATTCTGCGATGAACACTGAAAGAAATGACTCTAATTTGAAAGAAAGCATTATTTCCCACTATTAGGATGAGCATGCCCATTTGCAGATAAAACATTAGTTAGAGAAGAATGTCTTCAGGGCTGAAAGGTGCAGTGAAAAGCGCATGAAAACAGTCTGTACTTGCAAGAGTGTCAAAATAGGTTCAAGACCATAAAATATACATTGAAGAATTCTATTATGACATAAAGATGCAGAAGTGCAGAATTAAGAGTTTGCTGTACGACTGAATGTCTTCACTTTGTCATCACATTAATCGAGCTTTATTGGTTTTGTGCAACTTTTTCCCAAAGCAATCACTCAGATTTCTCAGTTTCTAATAAAATCCTGCTGCTACACGTTTTTTTTTTCTTTTTTAGGAATATGACATAATTTTGTATTTAGTTATCTGTGTTAAGTCCTCATCAAATTTAAAAAGTGACTTTTCCCTACTTAAGATGATTAAGTTTTTATGTTATGTCTTTCCCACATAAGTATCTAGAGATTTGTCTTTCTTTTCAGTTCTACCAGAGACTGACAAAAATTATAATGACGAAAACAACTTTTGTCACCAACAAAGTGGCACCAGTTACCCCTTTCAGTGCAATCTCGGTCATATACAGTCCAACTAATTAAACTAATCTCTGGTGGACTTGCTTAAGAGACTTTTGCCCAATTGGTTACTTTTCATTCCTCTTAGTTATGCCCATTCAGCACTATGTGGAGCTGTGTGCTCTGAGTCAGAAAACTAAACTACATCAGAAAAACAAGTATGTATTATTTATGGAAAAAAAACCCACAACTATTTTTGCATGAAAATAGGCAAAACACTACACACAGGTCAAGAAATCATAAGGAAGAGAGAAAGTGAAATGTCTTAAGCTGGCTATACTGTCCAAAGATTTGTAATCATAGAAATGCACCACCATTTGCCCAATTTGAAAAACGAGGACAGTGCTCGTCTTAATCTGAGAGGTGTCACAGAGCTTAATTAATGTACGTAGAGGGCTCTCTGAGCCTTTTGTGAAGATGCTCCAGCGATACAAATTAGTCAATAAACCAAAAATGCAGTTAAAACCACATGGTGACACAGACTTGAATTTTTCAAGCAGCAGAAAATAATATTAGGCAGACAGGTTTCTGTCTAAGAAATTAGGTTTGCCATGATTTCTTCCTAAATGGCAAGCAGCTTCCCATCTTAAAATGAGGAACATTTTAAAATCGACCCAAATCATGAAATAAACCAGTGTCATTTACGTCTTACATCTCAGCACTGAATGTATATTGCTCCAGAGAGACTTCTTGGTTCAAAGAATTCAGGAGTTCTACAGGCGGAGTCAGGAGGACTCAGAAACTGCCTGTGCTGCTTCCTTTCTGCTCATCTTCTTTCCTTGAGCAAAACCAGCAACATGCAATAAATAAAGAACGGCGTAACACAACATTATGCCTTTAAGATAAGACAGGCAAAAATCAGCAAATTCCACTTTTAATTAAGCAGCGATGTTCGCGTGGGAGTTTCCCTTTCTGTACCACAAGAAAGTCTCATTAGGCTTTTACAAGCTCTTTTTCATCTAGATACAGTTGAGGTTGGCTGAAAGGGACAGGAGAGCTTTCACAGTGTATGAGTACAACAGGATAACAAACAATATCTGCAAACTCCTCCACGCCTGTGGCGGGGAGGAAGAGGTCAGTAAGGATTTACACATCCATCTGTCCAGAGGCCATCGAGCCCGCTCAATGCATCAGGCTGGCAACACAGACAGGGTTTGTTTCAAACGTCCTACTTGGACTATGAATACTTCGGGGCATTTTTTGCCCCCACTTTTTGTGTATTATGCTATAAAACTATTTCTTTTACTGGATGGTAACAGAGCAATTTCAAACCTGTAAGCCATAAATATTTTTTTCAGGGATGTCAAGAGTTACCTTTTGACTTGTGTTGTTAGGGA